GTTACTCTGTCGTTTTCTCTTTGGACCACCACTGACTTGAGCGTCGGAGTGTTCGCGCCGGGACCATTCCCGCCGTGCTTTGCAGGTACCGGCGATCAAGGAGACATAACTTGGTTCGGAGAGGAGCGGTCCAGCAGTTCAAGTGTTTGTGGTATAACACTCTCAATCTTCATTGTCTTTGTTCAACTAAACATTGTTAATTATTTTGTGATCAATCTCTAAATTTTTTATTTTCAAATGATTTCTGTTAGTGATGTTAAATATTTTCTTGTACAATAAGTTAGGTTTAGGCGGCTAAGGCCCTTCTATGTATCTATATATATGTGTACATGTCTTGTAATAATACATATCATATTTTTCCCAATTTTTCACATGGTATCAGAGCAGGTTTAAGGTCCAATATACACTTTTGCTTCGTCGTTCATTTACAGTAAGATCCAAGTCTCACCTCCCATACCATCATGACCGGCATCTCCCGACGAACAATCGGCCACCGGAAACGCCCAATTTGGCGGCGCGTGCACTTCACACGCGCGTGATTTTTGTTCCAGTCCTGCCGACTTCTTGCCGCGCGTGTGGACCACCTCCAACGCCGATTGCCGCCGTCTTTCAGCCGCCAACTCCTATTGACGTCGGCTACCTTGTGGTGTGCTTGGATTTGGTTTTGGTGCACTTTTTAATTTTGGCCTGTTACTGCTATTTTATCTGGTTTGTGATCCAGTTCATAATTTTCTTTCGTCTTGGTACTGTTGCTGGTTGCTGGTGCTTCTTTATTTTTTGGATATGGATTCTTCTATGGTGGTCTGCCACATTTGTCATGTTCGGGGTCATATTGCTCCATTTTGTCCTACGGTGGTGTGCCACATTTGCCATGTTCGGGGTCATATTGCTACATATTGTCCAGTCAGATCGCAACGTTCGAGAGGTTCATTCTATCGACATCATGGCTCTTCCTCCACCGTCACTTCTTCTGTTACAGCGGCTGTCACTACTGAGCCTCAGCATCCGTCTTACACTCTTCAAGACATAGAAGCTATTCTCAAACAGGTTATTCTTTCCAATTCTTCTATGTCTGCTATCGGAGGCAAATCACATTGGTATTTTGATTCTGGTTGTTCCAATCACATGACCTCTAGCCCACAACTTTTGTCTTCTTCGTCTTCTGTAACCTCTTTACCTCCTATACATACTGCTAATGGTATTCTTATGAATGTTACTCACACTGGTTTGATTTCTTCCCCTTCCTTGCATCTTCCCGACACATACTGCGTTCCTAACCTGACCTTGAATCTTATTTCTGTTGGTCAATTGGTTGACCATGTGCAGGGGGACACGTGGGGTAAATATTCTCCTGGAATTCTGTCAGAGGCTTCCTTCACGCGCCTATGACTAGGCCGAACAGCATGGTGTTAAGTCCTCGAAGTAATCGACCTGATGAGGTCGAATAAATTGCTCGATCGCGTATCTGGTCGAAGGATAGTTTGGTCGACAACCTTGCTTGGTCGACTAGTTAATTGCTCGATTCCTTTGGCTTCCTCATAATATGACCTCCTCGACCGGTCAACAGACTGGTTCAGCCTTGTGGGTATAATATCCCATATCAGTCTTAATGTTATATTTTCATCTTCTGGTGTTCAGGTTCAGGATTCGCAGATGGGACAGCTTCTCGGGAAAGGTCGCAAGACGGGCCGGTTATTTGAGCTTGAGTCACTTCATGTCCCTCGTTCTTACTCTTTTTCTGCTTCTGCCACCGATAGTAAGTCTAGTTTCCAGTGGCATCTTCGTCTTGGGCATGCATCTTCGAATAAAGTTCGTTCTTTATATAATAAGGGTCTTCTGGGTTCAGGTCATTTTGAGTCTTTTAGTTGTCTTCATTGCAAACTTGGGAAACAACCGGCTCTTTCTTTTTCTGATAGTTTGTCAACTGCTGATAAACCTTTTGGTTTGGTACATTCTGATATTTGGGGTCCTTCTCCTGTTGCTTCTCTGAGTGGTTTTCGGTATTTTGTTATTTTTGTTGATGATTTTTCTCGTTTTACCTGGATTATTTATTTTCTCAAAAATCGTTCTGAGTTGTCTAACATATATGTTCAATTTGCTAACATGATTCTTACACAATTTTCTTGTCCTATAAAGGTCTTGCGTATTGATAATGCTCTTGAGTACAAAGATTCTACTTTTTTGAAATTTCTTTCTGATCAGGGCACCTTAGTTCAGCGTTCGTGTCCATATACTTCCCAACAAAATGGACGAGCTGAACGTAAACACCGTCACATTTTTTATACTATCCGGGCTCTTCTTCTTTCTGCTCAGTGTCCTGGTCGTTTTTGGGGTGAGGCAGCCTTTACTGCTGTTTATGCTATCAATCGGTTACCCTCATCAGTCATTAGTGATGTCAGTCCTTTTGAGAGGTTGTACGGTCAGTCTCCTGATTATACTCAGTTACGTCCTTTTGGTTGTGTTTGCTTTGTTCTTCTTCCGTTCCATGAGCGAACCAAATTAGAACCCCGAGCTCGTCTGTGTTGTTTTTTGGGTTATGGGGTAGAACACAAAGGATTTAGGTGTTGGGATCCGATTTCTAATCGGTTGCGTATTTCGCGTCATGTTACCTTTTGGGAGCATACTACATTTTCCTCCTTGTCTAAGTTCCACATTCCTTTTGATTCGGCGTCTCCTTTATTCATGTCTATTACTTCAGATCTTTTTCCAGATATAGATACAGGTTCTGACTCACAGCTCATTGACACGCCTATCATGCTTCCGTCTTCTGAAGTGGCTCCACCTGTGCATCCTGAACCGACAGTTCGTACTGAGCCCTCTTCTGATTCTGTACCTTTGCCAGCTATTGATCAGCGACGGTCGACTCGTGTAAGTCGTCCCCCTTCTCACTTACTTGACTATCATTGTTATTCAGTCATTCTATCTCATCATGAGCCTAGATCTTTTCGTGAGGCGAATGCTGATCCATTGTGGCAAAAAGCTATGACTGAGGAATTACAGGCCTTAGAAAAGACTCATACTTGGGATTTGGTGGATTTACCTGCTGGCAAGACTCCCATCGGATGCAAGTGGGTGTATAAGATCAAGACAAATTCAGATGGATCTATTGAGCGCTACAAAGCTCGTTTGGTTGCTAAGGGTTACTCCCAGGAGTATGGCATAGATTATGAAGAGACCTTTGCACCGGTTGCTCGTCTTACTACTGTCTGGTGTTTGCTTGCAGTTGCTGCTGTTCGTCAATGGTCTTTTCTACAATTAGATGTCAAGAATGCCTTCTTACACGGTGCCTTGTCTGAGGAGGTTTACATGACTCCTCCTCCTGGATCATTGTCATCTGGGAAAGTTTGTCGTCTACGTCGAGCTTTGTATGGCTTGAAACAAGTGCCTCGTGCTTGGTATGCCACGTTCAGTTCTGCATTGTTTCAGTTTGGTTTCACTACGAGTGATCACGATTCTGCTTTATTTCTTCGGCGCTCCTCCTTCGGGATAATTATTTTGCTACTCTATGTTGACGATATAATCATCACGGGGGATGATATTACCGGTATTTCCGATTTGCAGGATTATCTTCGTCAGCATTTTGAGATGAAGAGTTTGGGCCAGCTTCGCTATTTTTTGGGTCTTGAGATCTCTGATTCATCTGATGGATTCTATTCCTCTCAAGCCAAGTATGCCTCTGATCTTCTTGCTCGGGCCGGTCTCACTGATTGTCAAACAGCTTTCACTCCTCTTGATTATGATGTTCATCTTACTCCACTTGATGGCTCTCTTCTTGAGGATCCCACATTATATCGTCAGCTTGTTGGGAGTTTGATATACTTGACTGTCACTCGGCCTGATATAGCTCATGCTGTTCACATTGTGAGTCAGTTTATGGCTGCTCCGAGAACCACGCATCATTCTGCTGTGTTGCACATCCTTCGCTATGTGAAGGGCACTCTGTTGCATGGTTTACACTTCTCGGCCCATTCTTCTTTGACGCTTAGCGGTTATTCTAATGCAGATTGGGCTGGAGATCCTACTGATCGTCGTTCTATTACTGGGTACTGCTTCTTTCTGGGTGATTCACTTGTCTCTTGGCGCAGTAAGAAGCAAACATTGGTTTCCAGATCGAGTGTTGAGTCTGAGTATCGTGCTCTTGCTGATTCCACCTCAGAGTTATTATGGCTGCGTCGACTACTTGCTGATCTTGGTGCACCTCAGTCGGCGTCTACTGCTTTACATTGTGATTGTCAGAGTGCTATAAAGATGTCTCATAATGATACCTTTCATGAGCGTACCAAGCATATTGAGATTGACTGTCACTTCATTCGACAGCATGTTGCACATGGGACTGTGAAGCTTGTTTCTGTCTCCTCTATAGATCAACCAGCAGATGTCTTCACGAAGTCTCTCCTTCTCGGTCGCTTTTGTTTACTTCTTAGCAAACTCAAGTTGATCTCCACTATACCACCTTGAGTTTGAGGGGGGTGTTAGTTATGTTAAATATTTTCTTGTACAATAAGTTAGGTTTAGGCGGCTAAGGCCCTTCTATGTATCTATATATATGTGTACATGTCTTGTGAATAATACATATCATATTTTTCCCAATTTCTCACAATTTCATCTCTTACTCTGCATGACTAGTGGGATTATTGTCTATGACCTTCACATGATCATCATGTACGTACTTAGCTACTTTAATTTTGAGAGGTTATCAATCTATTCAATAAAAATGTCATCCAAAAGTCCTTTACTCTTATTGTCTTTTTCATGCCAAATAATAGCATCATAGGTACTCAAAAATAAGAAGGCATTAATTAGATAACCTTTTCATTGATGTGCCACTAATGTGGAAATTACACATGATCAGCATATGATGTGCTTAGCACATCTTTACTTGAACAATACAACAATTGATTTGCGGACAAATCATAATAATAACAATAATATTAGGCAGATAATTGATAGAGGGTGACCTTTGCCAACCACTCTACTTTTCAGATTCCTCAAGAAATTTGTCAAGGATGGGCTGAAAAGTAGGCGAGCAGGCCCACTAACGGGGCGTTGATGTACGTTGTGGGCTCGGACTGCTGAGAGAAAGGCCTGGAGTCGGGGAACGCGTCTGAGCTGTCCGGCCCACCCACAACGGCCCCAAGCAAGAGGTTAGGGTTGGGGTTTGGGCTGAGGAAGTAACGGGATCCAGCTTTGCAGCCTATACGCTGCGGGTGGGCCGCAAGGGAAGGCAAGGAGCTAGCCCGGTGGTGGATCCTCTGTGGATAACGCGGCCCGTAGCCCACCATGTACGACATTCTCAACGGATTATCCCCGAGAATGTAGTCAACCTGGTATAGTGTTAGTTGCAGGGGGACACCAACACAAAATTATAACACTTTAGATTAATTTATAATAAATATTATAAATAGTTAAATGTGGGAATAATTAGTGTTACCTGACGCTTGGCCAACCTCTTGAGGAGGGCAGGGGAGACCGAGGTGGCGCCACATGTCACCATGTGATTGGCGTGGCTAAGATAATTAGAGTAGGCCAAAAGCAAAAAGGATAGGGATGTTACATGTTGCATGTTACTTCCTCCATTCTTGAATATCAGTCCCCCTGTATTTTATTTTTATTTTTATTAATTATAAAAGCTATATATATGAGCTGGATTATAATCAATAACGAATAAAATATTAGTGCGTCGTACCTGGTGAGTATTGGACCTGAGTATTAGAAAGTCCAGGCAAGAGTGAACAGATGAAGCCATCTGCATTTATCTTGAACTGTTTCAAGTCCACAGCTCTGCCCATAAGAACATCCTGCAGCCAATGCAAAAAAATGTGTTTTCGAATCATTATATTTTTCAATTAATCCAGAATCGGTACACGTACGACTCCTTCGAAAAAAATTTAGTTGAATTTTATTTGCCATCTTTATATTATCTCATGTCCAAAGCACATTAATTTTTATAGTTATTTTGTTTTTTTTTTT